CTCACGAAAGAAGACTTTAAAAACTGTTTCGAAGACTGGTTTATTCGAATGCATAAATGCATTGATACTGAAGGACAGTACTTTGAAAAAATAAATTAAAGTCCTCCTCTGAATATTTATCCTAAAGACTAGTGAAAAAACTTTTGTAGTGCCCCACGTATACGATATACGATTTATGATTGCAGTGGATAGAAGTTTTTTCGCCATTTCTCAACCAAATTTTTCTCAATAATTTTTCAATGGATCTTGTTTCATTGTCAACCGAAGAAGTTCGAAATTTATTCAAACATCAACGTGTAATTTTAATTGGTGACTCTATTGTTCGTGGAATTTATAAAGACTTGTGTTGCGTCTTGACAGGTAATAATCGTTTGTTGTATTCAAACGAATTGCAATTCAATCGACATCAGATTAAAAAAGAAACATTATTTGGTGAAGCTATAGAAAAATTTTATGCTAATCGAAGAAATAGTGCGTTCAATGTCGAACAACGTTCATTAAAATCAAAAAGTTTTGGATATGATGTTACATACATTTTTACAAGCCGTATTTGGAATCAAAAAATGGTCCAACTATTATCATCGTTAGATAAATATGATATAATAATAGTAAATAGTCAAATATGGGATTTATCTCGTTATGAAGATAATGATGGTCAATCATATCTGAAAAACCTTGATATCTTTTTTTCAAAAGTAAAACTTGTTAAAAAAAACAATTATATGGTTGACGAATGCACCAATAAATAATTTTAAAAAATCCAAATCTATCGAATGTTTTATTAAAAACAAATCCATTAACACTTAGTAAAGCACAACAGTACGATATCCATACATTAGATTTACATGTACAATTGATAGATCATGTAGAATTACTTTCTAATGATGGTGTACACTGGACCCCCAATGGTCAGAGAATGATCACAAGATTTTTGATTAATTTTTTATCTCATCTTTCACAGCAACAAAATCTAAGTGGTAATATTCAACAATCACCATTAAATGAAAGAACTAATAATAATAGTTCAAATATTTCATCGAGTATTTTCACGTCGATCACAAGATCCTCCAACGACTTTCAATACATATTATTACAAGAAGAATAAACGTTTTTATTCATCTGACCGGAATAAAAAACAAAAAGATAATCATCGTCCTAAACAAATAAAATTGATAAAAGATGATGCAGAAAATTTTGGGCGTGCTTTCGGCGCCGCGTGGAAGACAGCCCACTAGAACTGAAATTTATTTTTCGTGTTTTTGTTTTCGGTTTGTGTTCATCATAATAAACGAATATATAACTCCTTTATATAATTGACAAAAATCTGCATATGTGAAAGACTCTGCATTTGAAAACAGATGAATAAAGCAAAACTCACACACTTTGAGATATTCTATAAATACTCATTCTTGTTCAATTTTTATCTGAAGCTAAAAACAATCAATTCAATCAAATGATTCTTTAGTATTTCAGAAAATTTCTCTGGAAAATATATAAAATAAAGTTCTATTTAGAAAGATTCTAAAATCATTGATTAATTGAATTTCTCAGAAGAATCTTAGCTCACCCGCTTATTTGATACCGGCAATGTTACGATCTATTAATTCGCCTTTTAATTTATGAAAAAAAAATGATAGAACAATAATATTTCCAAGGATTTTCGATCATTATATAAATAATTGTTTTATGTAACTGAGTGTCATATGCATAATACAGTAAGTGGCATAAGTGGACCCGATTAAAAAAAACGAGGAAGACAAAAGAGTTATTTTATTATATTTTATTTATAAAATCTACATAATATATACATCATCTCAATAATTTATATAGTCACCATTTCTTTCAATTAACAATTCTATTCTATGTTCCATAGAGTTGACTAATTTTGCAGCAAAATCAACAGGTAAATTTTTCCATTCTTTTCTTATTCTTGCCATAAAATTCTTCGTTAATGTAGGTGGTTGTTTGTTGATTTTAAGCTTCATCAATGCCCAAACATTCTCGATCGGATTACAGTCTGGTGATTGTGATGGCCACGGTAATGATTGTACACCATTGTCGACCTTAAATCTTTTACACATTTTTGAAGTATGTTTTGGATCATTATCTTCTAATAAACTCGAGTTAGTATTATTATCACCAAACCATTTTTTTGTTGATGGCAGCAGTCCGTACTTGTAAATTTTGCGCATCAGCTTTGAGTTCAATGTTCGTGTACATAAAAATAATTTACCAAATCCTTTGTTACTGAAACAGCCCCAAGCGTGAATTTTGATAGGATGTTTGATTGCTGATACATAATAACTTTCACCACGCCTTTTCCATACACGTCTTGTCACTTGTTTCATTTGAAATGAAGTCTCATCTGTAAAAACGACTTGATTCCAGTTAACATCTTTATGTTCAATAGCCCATTTGAGTCTTTTTTTGAATATGATCACTTATTAACAATGGCTCGGAAGTTGGCTTCAT